TCTTAATTCTTTTTGCCTTTTTTCAGTTCGACTTTCTTTGAGGAAGTACCCGGTTTTAAGAGACAGGCTGTTTACTATTGTGTTGGCTGGGGCTTTTGTCCATGGTTCTTATCTAGTGCATCCTTATTCTATCAATCTTGTTTTAATTACTATACCTGATTGTTGATTTTCTGTTCTCCTTTTCCATCTGAATCATTCATGCTTAAATGATTGAGCAGTGTGCTACTGCATATTCTTTTATGTGCTCATTGTCTTTATTTAAATTGGGGATTCTTTTTCCCTTTTTATCTGATCCGAATATAACATACAGTCTACTTAATGTCTATCAGGTTTTGATTGTTAACTAAGTATTGAGTTCTATGATGGCATGTGTATTGGCTGAATGTAATTGATGCAAGTCATATAACACAGTAGCATTCGTGAACGTTAATGCATTGCTAAATGTTTCATCTGGACGTTTGGCCCAATTCTAGGTACATGTATCATCCAACTTTAAAAGGTAGGCTTCGACATATCTTTCAATGGTTTCCACATGCAAATTATTTTCCAATTAGACATTCATTTGTTTTTTACCACACGTGTCTGCACAATGCATGATGCAGGTGTTGCCTTGAGAGCTTGATTCATTTGATTGTGTACATGTAAGCAAGGATGTGTTTTATTTGGATTCTTTATGCATTTGAATGACATGTTTGGTGAGGGAAAATAAGGGAAAGAATTAAAACCATGTGGTGCCATTATTTTATGAAATACTGTAGCTGGAAAATGGTTTCTGTGAACTCTAATTCTAGGCATTGATTCTATATATTTTGTTGGATCCGACCTTTTCAATTGATTGCTTTTGGTTATATTAGGGAGTCATGTTTGTGGTCGAGTCTATAGGGGTTAGATGTGCATGTAAGAGGATGAGTTTTAAATGGGAAGATTCATACCCTTATGTTTATGCTGTCAACTAAATTCGTACTCTATAATAATTTGCCTTCACTAATTTTCCTTCCTTGCAAAGCAATGCAATTTTGTAGCTTGTTTTTAAAAGTCATGGTACAACCTATTTCATATCACTTTAAGGTGCAAACTTTATAATGATCACGTTTGCAAAACCATTGCCTTTACATTCCCGTTTAGTATTGTGGTCGGATGTTCCTACTTATTTATATCAGGCATTTTCTGCAACACCTTAGTCCTCCAAGAAAAAGAAAAAGTTTGGTCGTATTACGCTTTCTTCTCATACTTCATGAAATTTTGTTTCGAGGGAATGTTTCTTTTCCTTTGCACTTAAACAACAACAAGCATAGTAAAATGCATTTACATATGAATATGTGAGGTCTGTGTATCAAGGAGACATGCATTGATAATAGTATTGGTTTGTTTATCCAAGAAAGATAAATGACTCTCACAGTTGTCTAGCGTATTTTGTCTGAACTTTTCTGGAGCTATGTTTCTGACGTTAGTCTCGGCCTCATTTTGCATATTGCTAGTTGTATGCTGCACATTTTGCTCATCTACAACCTCTTCGCTCTGCCTCGTGTTAAAATTGCATACTTACATGCACCTAGAGATGGAAAGTTTATCGGTAGGTGGGTGGTAACATGTTTTATGTATATCCCGATTTTGTGTTCTTCTCTACTTAATAATCTGGAATTTGGAAACTATGTTGTTGTGGTAGTGATGGTTCTCTCTATTTATGTTTGTCCTAGTCACTAGAAACACTTATTTAGATATCGTCTTTTCGTTGTACTCCTAGTTCTCTGCTTTTTTTTCTTTTTCTTTTTTTCCTTTTCTGCTTTATCTTCCTTAATACATTTTCAGGTCGGATCTATATGATGCTGAGAGCAAGTGAACATGCCGAGAGTTTGGCTCAAGGAACTTATTTTTAACCCTTCAATAATTATTCTTCTTTTATGGCTTAGAACAAGTTGAATATTGTATTCTTCTCATTCCCTTTACTGAGGAATGATAATTGTATCATGCAGTTATAATTCATTTAGGGAATTAAGTTCAATTTTGAAGAGAAATAAGATAAGGTGAGCTACGTTTTTGTTAAACTGTAATTGCTTTATTGCAGGATTGCTCATGTGATCGATGCGCAGGTAACGTATACACATTCAGAATTGTTAAACTGTAATAGACTTTCGCTGTGTATGATAAAATGAATTTTGTAATTTTTTTAAAAAATTATATTTTTATTATTCAAGTTTTCTGACTCTGTAAAAATAAGAATAAATAAAAAGGACAGATAACTTGCTCTCACATGATTTTTGTACTTATATATAAAAAAGCAATGGTGAAAGTCATTAAAAAACTTAAAGAAGGATGTGGCATTGGATTCTTATCATACACACAGAGTGACGATTAAGTAGGCGATCAATCACCACCAAAGATTTTTCAGCTGTCCCTTTTTTCCATATGTATGGGATAAGGGGAGGTAAGATAGTAGATTATCCCTAATACCAGATTGAGAGCAATTTCTGTAAGAGACCTCCGAATTATGAAATATACTCCATGAGACTTGATCTCACGACCTTAAGGTTAAAAACCTTGTGCTCTACCAACTGAGTTGGATGGTCATTTCATCACCACCAAAGATTGTAAGACCAAAATCTTCCGATCTGATGAGCATCGGTTCACGTCAACGTGAAGCTCTTTAGGTAAAAGCGTAGGCCAAAAGTGTCGTGTTGAAACGCAGAAGCTTCCAAATGGCCAGAAGCAGACGCGAAAGAGCAAAACTATAAGATAACAAACCCCCCTTTCTTTATTAAAAAAATGCATACGAAACATTGAATATGTACCAATGAAAAGAATCTCATCATCAAATAATCAATCTTTTTTTTGTTGGTATAAACACTCCAAGAGCATAAACAGCGTTGACTTCACAGATTAGCAGATAAACTATGTGCATCTTTGATCTTCCTTTCCCTTCCATATCAAACCCTGCATGGAGATTGCAGAAGCAAAAACAAAAGAACATTCAGTATTAGGAGTTGAGAAATATAAAGACATTAAGTAAATTATTTGTTAGTGAAGAAGATGAAATGACTGTTGGAATTCAATGTTGATGGAGTCGACAGCGTTGTTGGTGATTCCACCGAAAGCCGTCCTGGAAAGTACAATGGTGTGGATTGAGCTGAAGATGGAGAGAGTGCCGTTAGAGCATAATCGACAATCTTGACCTGGATCGTTTGGTCGGTAACACAAATCCCAGGCTGCGAAGCACTTATGCATCGAGCCCGGTATTGTCTCCCGCATGATGCTTCATTGTCCCATATCCCGTCTCCGGCTGCTGCGAACAAATTGCTCGATGGGAACTCCGTTCGATCGTCGCCGAAGCACGTTGTCGCTGCAACCGCAAGACATAAACAAACAACAACCCATTAATCAGCAAACAAAATCAAGAACAGAGAACATTGAGAAATTTGAAGTTCAGGGTTCGGAACTGACGTAAATATGGAGTGCTGTAGTGGGCAGCAGTGCCGACATCGCCATGGGAGAGCTGGAAAAACTGGGAAACGAAGAGGAAATACGATACAAGTAGAAGGAGTGGTAGTTTCTTAATCAGTATTTTCGATCTGTTAAGTTGCTTATCTTTGTTTTTATATTATTTTAGTAATTAGATTTAGAATTTGTAAAAAAATATTATATTCCTCCATTTAACCTTCGAGTTTAGAAAAAAATTCATCTGTTTTTAAAATAAAAAATTATATCCAACTTGACATATATGTATATATAATTTTATTTTTTTTTAAGTAAAATAGAGATATAATTGAAAAAACTAAAAAAATATATTATTGTAATTATCCTTAAATATATAAGAGATAATTATATTTTTTTAATCAAATCAGATATTTTTTACCTTAAATTCTAACTCAAAATTTTTTTATAACAAAAACGACCTTATAAACCAAGTCCGAACTCGTTGAATTCTGGCATCATACCCATCCCTAGACAAGAAAAAAATAGTAAACTATATGTTAAAGTTAAGTTTAGATTGAAGCTTGAAGCAAAATGCATATTTACCCTTGTATGTGTTTATAACCTTTCTACACTTTTAAGAGAACTGATGAGTATCTTCTTGGTAGTTGCCTTGCCTTGAAACTTTGATAATTTATTACACTTTGCTACTTGGGTTTTGAGCATTGACCCTTCATCCTTACCAATTTGTAGCAGATCCGATCTCTTATCGGCTGACACTGATAAAATTAAGGAATTTGGATGAACTATAGTTTTGTATTCCAATGCATTCAGTGTCAAATTCAGGTAAAACTATAGGCAGCAGAACACCGCCATTATATATGATTGCTAGTATTCCCTGCCGATTCTTTAGAATACCAATAAAAATTTGATCTTAACAACAAAAGAACCTGAACAAAAACTCACTGAAAATTATCTGTAAACGAAGTTTAAAATGACCAGAATCTCCTATTGGTTTGTATGAAGGCAACAGCACAATCAGTTATTCAAATTTCATTTATGGAAAGAATCACTAAATGCCAGAGCATGCAAGAGAAAGTCGCTAAACAGTAAGACTCGTAAGCAGTAATGCATTATCAAGAAATGAATTCATCGTAGAGCAATATTTTCAGTCCAAGTTACAACCACGGCATAACTTATTTTCATCCAACATATGTAAGAACAAGGTACCAACGAGGGAGTGGCCCTTCTATGGCCCTAAACCAAATAAAAAAACAGCTTTATAATAGGTTTATGTAATATTTAATTTGAATTAAACTACTAATAAATCTGATATCAATAATTTATACAAATAATATTAAACAAAAAATAATTAAATTTCATAAACATAGACCCCAAACACTACTTTATCACTACAAAAATAGTTGAAATAAAGAAAATGTCAAATTAAACCCTAAACATTGCTCTATCCCTAAAATAGGATGAGTCAATATTATAATTTTTGCGAAACAACAGGGTTACTTGAGTAAAGGTGTGCACCTTCCTTGCGACTTGCGAGTTCATCTTTATTGGAATATATAAATTGCTTTCTGTTATCCCAGCCCTGAACCTGTGACCGCGAACATTAACCTTTAGCTTTCCATTGTGTCCGTCTCCCCGCAAACAAATTCTCTCTGTTTTCTTCCCTCTAATTATCTTGGGTTACTTCTGTTTTTGGCGGGAAAGATGTCTGGTAAAGGCGCCAAAGGTTTGACCACCGGCAAAACCCTTGCTTCCAGCAAGGACAAAGACAAGAAAAAACCCATCTCTCGTTCTTCTCGAGCTGGTCTCCAGGTGTTTGTTTTCCTTTTTCCATAACCTTATTTGTTTTGGGTTTTTCTTTTTACCTTTTTTGTTCATGGATACAATTTTAGCTCCTAAAGCTTTTGTGTTGAAGGGGGTGGCGTATATTAGTGCCGGGATTTGAGTTGATTACTGGGTCTTTAATTACTCCTCTCTCTGATATTCAACATGCCTGGAGTTAATTAATGTGTCTTTTGCACGTTTGGCAAGAACAATTTACAGTAGTTTAAAATGGAACAGGCTCTAAAAGGCTATATAGTAACAGGTGTATCTGTTGTGATTTCATTACTCTGGGATGCACACAGCATCGGTATGGTGATGTAACTAGGGGATGTTATATTATTCTCCTTTTGTTGAAATTTTTGTATAATGTATAAACCTGCAGTTCCCGGTGGGTCGTATCCATCGTCTACTAAAGCAAAGGACTACGGCACACGGGAGAGTAGGAGCCACGGCTGCGGTTTATTCTGCTGCCATCCTGGAATATTTGACTGCAGAGGTGTTGGAGTTGGCCGGAAACGCGAGCAAGGATCTTAAGGTGAAACGTATTACCCCCAGACACTTGCAGCTTGCGATCCGTGGTGATGAGGAACTTGATACCCTGATTAAGGGAACCATTGCCGGTGGTGGTGTGATCCCTCATATCCACAAATCACTGATCAACAAGTCGTCCAAGGAATAGACTATAATGTTTTATTGCTTGCAGAGATTTGCCAAGCCAATATGTGAGCTGCATTTACTTGCTGTGATCTTGAAACTGAAAAAACGTGTTTAATTCGTTTAGCTAATGTTGAAGCTTAGGTCTGAGACTGTGTTTGTTTTTGGACTCGATATATTGGCTTTGTTTTACAGATAGACTGAACCGGTTGCTTTTGTGTAGTTAAAATATTGGACTAGTTTTAAGGTTATTGATGTAGATGTCATATCATGTTTTTTAGATTGAATCCTTTGTTCTGCAATCTATGCTCGCAGTTGCTTGCTCTGCTCATATGAGTCCAATGATCAATTTCTACTTTCTAGACTGATTATCAAGCACATGAGAGATGAGTAAAGGCGCATATATGCCGATTCAGAACTAACTAAATTGGCGACATTCTGTGCATAGAACCCGAAGATAACAAAAGATATTGAGAATGTCGTCTCTTAATTGTGATTACATTCGAATTAAAGTTCAAACAAAATTGAGTTATTTCTCATTCCAATTCAATCTCTAGATCAATGATGAAGTCTTGAAAGATATCCTAAGCATCTTCTAATTTTGTTACACCATGAATAATCCCACAACAGCATCAAGACAATCTGGAAATTAGATGGTAGACACCCTTGGAACATCAACAGGGAAATCATGTATCTCATCCATCCATCCATGGGTTTTTCTCCTTTGCTGGATTTACAGTCCTCAAAGCTTTCCACACTGCACTGTTACATTTGAATCCCGAACCGAATGCTATTTGCCATGTTCTGTCCCCTTTCTTAATCCTACCCTTAGCTTCTGTATACGCCAATTCATACCAAAGAGAACTGCTTGAGGTGTTGCCAAACCGGTAAAGAGTCATTCTCGATGGTTCCATGTGCCATTCGGATAACTGCAAATTTTTCTCCAGTTCATCCAAAAACAGCTCTTCCTCCAGCATGAATGCAGAAATGCTCGAAAGCTAGCTTGAAATCCGGTATGTATGGCTTAATCTTCATTTTGAAAAGCTTCTTCCCGACCAACGTACCAAAGAAAAGCAGCTGCTCAGACATTGGAAGAACCAGAGGGCCCAATGTGGTGATGTTGGTCTTTAGCGCATCACCAGCAACTGCCATGAGATCTTTTGACAATGTAACACCAATCTTTCCTATAGAGTCTTCTTCTTGGGTAACACAGCCAAAGCATTTATCATCCGCGCCCTTGTGGGTACGAACAGTGTGAACCAATTGGTATTTGGATCTTCTTCTGTCAGAGTGTTTGTTAGAGAGCAGTATTGCTGCCCCTCCCATTCTGAATAAGCAGTTGGAAACAAGCTTCGAGCGATCATTTCCAAAGTACCAGTTCAAGGTGATGTTCTCCATGCTGATAACCAGTGCATAGGAGTTCGGATGTACTTGAAGAAGATTCTTCGCAAGATCTATTGAGATCAAACCTGCACTACAGCCCATTCCTCCCAAATTGTAGCTTTGAATATTCCCTCGAAGCTTGTAATGGTTGATAACCATGGCCGACAATGATGGTGTTGGATTAAACAAGCTGCAGTTCACAATCAAAATTCCAATGTCTTTGGGTTTTACACAGGTCTTAGCCAAAAGCTCATCAATAGCACCAAACATAACAGTCTCTGCTTCCTTTCTAGCTTCATTCATTGACGGGTTAGGTGGAATGTTGAGGACAGCCTCCGGAAGATATGTCAACTCCCCAAGCCCGGATCTTTCAAGGATCTTACGCTGAAACTGAAGGTTTTCCTCCGTGAATGTACCGGCCGATTGAGATCGGTCCATGAAGATCTTTTTGGAGCATTTCCGAGATTCATCCGGTTTGAAACAAGCAAAGTTGACAAGGTAAACAGGACGAGGTCGAGTTAGAAAGTAAAGGGTTGACAAGAAAACAAGTAGAGCCGAGCAGATGATGACAGAAATGAGATTGTATTGAAGATGCTCCCAAAGATCATAAAGATCCCGGAGAGAAAATGTCGAGAGCTGCACGGCGATTACAACTACAAGAGGAGAAAGGAAGAGATACATTCCATGAGTGATCAGGTAATGGTATCCAAGCTTCACATATTTTAGCTTAACCGATTTCTTAAAATCAGGTAGCTTCCGAGACGATGGTGGAATCAACGGTTGCACTGGCTTTGAATCAGTCATATTTTACCTGCTAAAAACGGAATTCATTGTATTAATCAAATGTTAAAAATGAATCAAAATAAAAGACAAATCAAAACCAATAAGGATAAGAGCCGGCAAAGCAAATGGAGTATCAAGTTGAACAAGAAATTTCTACATGGCCTTCCATTGATTTTATCACTTATTCTGGCCGACGATTTTTAACCCTTTTAAGAGATGAAATGAGTTTTTTTTTCTTCCTATTTTATCATCATTCACATATATAAGACTTGCTCATTATAGGTGAAAATCATTCTTTCCAATAGTGATTAAAACTGCATCTAAAAGTAATCGAAAAATAATAGGTGATCTTAACCCAGCAATTTACACTCTAAATAGCTTAAAATCCAAAATTTGAAAGGGTAAAGTGAATGCATTGCCAGATCAAAGTGAGATTACTCCTTTTCCCTATTTCTGTCTCCACATTCATTTTCCTAGGAAAAAAATCCACATTCAAATCTAATAACGAGTTCCGCAAACCCAGATCAGAATTTCACATCAAATTCATAAATCGCACATAGCTTGTGGAACTGACAATGTAGGAAACATAGGGAAGAAAATAAGAAAGAAGCAGCGGATCAGCATTCACATCAAAAACCCAGATCAGAATTCACAGCAAAGCAACATGAAACTACTATTAAAGGAAGATAATTAGAAGAACACTGACCTTAACCCCCAAAAACCGACGGAGAGCGGGCTCGAAGAGATGGACAATGAGAGATGCAGAGAAAAAGGACTATAAAATGGAAATTATTGGGATTTTATATCTTGTAATAATAGGCCTGTAAATGAACTAAACGTTCAACGAACCGTTCATGAATCGTGTGACGGGAAGTTCGTTTATGTGCGTTTATTTATTAAATGAACGAACATGAACAAGATTTTTTGTTCGTTTAATTAAATGAACAAACATGAACATAGGTTTCGTTCGTTCATTTAGGTTCGTGAATGTTCGGTTATGTTCGTTTGGTTATGTTCGTTTATGTTCGTTCGATTATGTTCGTTTATGTTCATTCATTTATGTTTAACCCAATCTTCTTAAATCAATTTTGGTGACCAATTTGTAAGTATCTTAAAAATATTAATCTAATATTCTGATGACCAACTCCATAATTAACTTAATTTTATTTGGAGATTAAATCCAATATGTTAACCTGTGAGACACCTCGCTCTTATATTCATTTTCCCTTTTTTTCCTCAAATCTTATTGTTCACTGGAGAGGGGACGATCTCTGAAAGATTCAAAACAAGTTATATTATAGTGCAATATGAAGTTTTACATGTCTGTTTTCATCTTTCTCTGTTTTATTTGACTTAATAGTTGATATGTAAAGTTATTGTGGGTATATTCACATCTAAAACTCAAGAAAACATAATACTTCTTTCTAGAAATAGATGGGAAGATAAAGGTAAAAATCGGAAGTATATGAGCATCAGTAAAAAGGAAAATATATAGAATTTGCCAGAAAACAAAATAAAGATTTCTATGCAATTTCTGAAAAAGAGTGTAATAGCGGAAAATGATTGTTCATATGTAATCATGGAACACTAAGATAAATGTTATAGCGTTAAATTAAAGTCGTGCGAATCATTTAATATCTTTAAAAGATCGATCGAAATATTTGATATCTTCAAACATTTCATCACTGCTAATAAGCTCTTACGCTATTTATCACTGTAGATTTGGTTGATTTGCATTGTCGACTATTTTTCATGAAAGAATAATGGAAGGTAGGGTCTCCAACGTTTATGTTCGTGTTCATTTATGTTCGTGTTCGTTTATGTTCGTGTTCGTTTATGTTCGTTTATTTATTAAATGAACGAACATGAACAAGTTATATTCCTTAATAAACGAACATGAACAAAAATTTTTTTATTCGTTTATGTTCGTGTTCGTTTATGTTCGTTTATTTATTAAATGAACGAACATGAACATACCTTCGTTCGTGTGCGTTCGGTTCGTTTACATGCCTATGTAATAAGATTATCGCGTTTATAAAGAAGACAAGGATATTATCAACAAATTACTATTGAATTTAGAGTTAAAGAATGCTTTAAATCTTTAATATTATATTAAAATATAATAATAATTAGTTAATATAAATTAAGCAATTTTTTATATAATTATATTAAATAAATTGAGTAAATTTTAAACTCATTGGACGATAAATTTTAAATTTATTGGACGATTTTAATGATAAAATTATTCTTTTAGAACCTATTTTTTAACATATATTAATTTATAACTACTCTAAACTATTCAAAAATGAAATAGAATAAAACAAATTTTGTCTTATATGAAAATTTTAATTTTTATCGATTTTAATGTTAAGTAAATTAACTTTTCCAAAGAAAATTAATTCATCTATATTTCGAAATCGAAAATAAATAAATATAATAATCTATGATTAAGGATGGCAAGGATTAGATAGAATTTAAATTTTAACTCTCTCAATTATGGTCCGAGAAAAAAACAATCTCTGTTTACCGCTGGCCCAACTCAATATTTTTAATGTTTCACTCGCCTAAAATTTAAAATCGAAATTCACATTTTCAATCTTCAAAACTTCTATTTGTTGATTTATCATGAAACAATCTTCAAAAATAGAGAATAAAAAAAAATCAATCAATCAAAATTTAGTCATAAAAAATTAAATAAAATACTAACAATGATTGATTCAACCTAGAAAACAATTATGAAATCACTTGTGTAGTTAAACTATAAAATTAGATCAACCATGAAATCAATAACTAATAAAAGACATAATAAATATGAATATTTAAGAAATTTTCTCTAAGAGAAATTAATTGACTTCAAATTCAAAATTAAGAAGATGGAGAACATTTAGGTGGTGTTTGTTTTGCAGAGGTAAAAGGTCTGCAGTCTGCGGACCACATCTGCAGGCATCTGCAGCAAAGAGGGATCAAAAGTCTGCAGTCTGCAAGAAGAAGATTGTTTGTTTTTTAATGTCTGCAGACTGCTAAATGAACTAAATATAAATAAACTGAAATATAAATAAACTGATTTTTTAAACTTAAAAGAGTTTTGCAATACTGAGATTTAAATAATTTTAGTTTTACAATACTGAAATAATCCATACAACTACAATAATAAATTATTTAAAATAAATCAATCCATATTTTAAAATAAATCAATTCATACTAATAAATTATTTAAAATAAATCAATCCATACAACTATAATAATAAATCAATCTATATTTTAAAATAAATCAATCCATACTAATAAATTATTTAAAATAAATCAATCCATACAACTACAATAATAAATCAATCCATATTTAAAATAAATCAATCCATACAAATAAATTATTTAAAATAAATCAATCTATACTAATAAATTATTTAAAATAAATCAATCCATATTTTAAAATAAATCAATTCATATTTTAAAATAAATCAATCCATACTAATAAATTATAAATCAATCCATATTTTAAAATAAATCAATCCATATTAATAAATTATTTAAAATAATCAATCCATACAACTACAATAATAAATCAATCCATATTTTAAAATAAATCAATCCATACAAATAAATTATTTAAAATAAATCAATCCATACTAATAAATTATTTAAAATAAATCAATCCATATTTTAAAATAAATCAATCTATACTAATAAATTATTTAAAATAAATCAATCCATATTTTAAAATAAATCAATTCATATTTTAAAATAAATCAATCCATACTAATAAATTATTTAAAATAAATCAATCCATATTTTAAAAAAATCAATCCATACTAATAAATTATTTAAAATAAATCAATCCACACAACTACAATAATAAATCAATCCATTTTTAAAATAAATCAATCCATACTAATAAATATTTAAAATAAATCAATTCATACTAATAAATTATTTAAAATAAATTATTTTAAAATAAATCAATCCATATTTTATAATTTATTTTAAAGTAAATTATTTATAATAAATTATTTTATAATAATTATTTTAAAATAAATTATTTTAAAATAAATACCTTATTAAATTATTTTAAATTATTTTAATAAATAACTATATTTTATAATTGTTCTTGAAGAGGTTTGAAGACCTTTGAAGACATAAAACCAAGTCTGCACCAAGAAGAGCTCGCGCAGACGTTTGAAGAGCTTCTGTCTTCTAAAAAACAAACAATCTGCGAAGCCTAATGTCTGCGCGTGGTCTGCGCGACGCAGACATAAGTAGTTTGAAGAGCTTGCACAGTGAAAACAAACACCACCTTAAACACCCAAGAACCATCCTATCCTAGGTTCAACTGAACAAGAAACATAGACCAAGCCTGCTGTTAACATCAAGAAGCGACAGTTTTTGTTGCACAGCTCGAAATAGGGTTTGTCTAAGAAAATCAAACTAATATACAGTTAAGAAACAGACTGATAAAAATTTTTAATAAGATAACTAACAAATCCGGTAAAGTGTTTTTGGAAATATTGACTTGCTTATAATGTTGTAGGTAGAAAACATGAAGAATTATTAAAAAATTTGGTAACCGATAAACTTTGGTTATCTGTAGGTATCGATACATACATACATACATATATATATATATATATATATATACTTACTTCACTATGAAAAACATTAATTTAAGGTTAATTTTTTTAGTGAGTTTTAAGATATTAATTTAGTAATTATAAATGTCTAATGACTTATTTTTATGCCACAATATATATTATTATCAAATTAAAAATAATAAATATTACATATTTATTATTATCTTTAGTTAAAATTGTTAAATTTAAATTCTAAATAATATTTTATAAAAATATAAATAATCAAATATTTTTTTTTTGTAAATGAAATTATTAAATTAATGTTGTAGGTGAAAAACATGAAGAACTATTATAAAATTTTGAAACATAAATTGCATAGCTTCTGTATCCATACTTACTCTAAAAGTATGTATATTATTTCGACAATAAGATATTTCCAAATATTATCCTGAAAAAGTGTCCATACCTATATTGTATGTATCAATATTGTAGTCCATTTTCGCTAGGGTGCTATTTATAATATATATATTTTTGAAAACATATATATAATATATAGTTTTTGAAAATATTTTGAAAATATATATAATATATAGTTTTTGAAAATATTTTGAAAGTATATATATATAGTTTTTGATTTTTTTTTGAAAATATATATAATATATAATTTTTGAAAAAAATATATAAAATATAGTTTTTGAAAACATATATATAATATATAGTTTTTGAAAATATTTTGAATATATATATATAATATAGTTTTTGAAAACATTTTTGAAAATATATATTATATAGTTTTTAAAAATATTTATATATTATAGTATTATATTTATTATATTATTGTAATTTATTATTTATTATTTTTTTCTTTTTTTTCTTTTTGTTATTTAGTCCAAATAGGGAGTCCAAGTTCAAGTCCAATAAGGGCATGAAGGAGCCCAACCGGGTGGCAGGCCTGAACCAGCAAACCAACCTGGCCAAGAGTCCAGCAAACCGACTCGACCCAAGTTCACCTGACCTAGCGACGTAGGGTTTTTAATTTAAGTAAAATCGTCGCACGATTCTCAACTGTGGGATCAAGCATCGATCGAACAACCCAGATCGCATATCAACTAGGGTTTGTAAAACCCTAAGAATGTTATCACGCGAAGCTGATCCTGAGCCGTTGGATATGTAGTTAATCCAACGACCTAAAACAGATACTAGTCGTAGGGTTTTCA